ACAGTACGTGAAGTCATGTCAGACATGCAGGAATAGAGATACCACTAGACCATCCCAAGCCCCATTACAAACCACTGATTTAGCTAACAGACCATTCGAAAAAATAGCGATAGATATCATAGGACCACTGCCTACCCCATCAAAACGTGGTCACCGATACATCCTCACAATAGTCGACTTTGCAACACGTTGGCCAGAAGCCTTCCCACTAAAGACGATAACATCTGAGGATATAGCAGGCGCTCTACTCACGTTCTTCTCAAGAACCGGGTTCCCGGACACCATACTGTCAGATCGGGGCACACAATTTACCTCCGACTTAACGAGACAACTCACGAGTGTGCTGGGGATTAAGCAAGCATTCACGACGCCCTATCACCCTCAAAGCAATGGCGTGTGTGAACGACTAAACGGCACCATTAAATCGTTACTAGACAAAGTCTCTAAAGACAACCCAGAAAACTGGGATACCATGCTACCATGTATCCTATTCGCCTACCGAGAAATACCTCATTCTTCTACTGGATTTTCTCCATTCGAACTCGTCTACGGCGCCAACCCCAAAGGCCCCATGGATATACTTAGGACACTTCTCTACAAACAGAACATAGAACAAGAAACCAGAACAACATATGAAGCCATTGTCAATCTTAGAGAAAATATAATCAATGCACGCCAGGAAGCAAAGCTCGCGCTACAAGAAAAGGGAGAAATAGCAAGACACAGGGTGAACAGGAATAGAAAGCTACGTCAGTTCACAGTAGGGGAACCGGTCAGAATACTGTTACCTTCTAAGCACAACAAATTACAGCTTGCATGGCAGGGTCCATTCACAATCACAGCCAAAATTTCAAATGTAGATTACCAAGTCGAAATAAAGGGGAATAAAAAAACGTTTCACACAAATATATTGAGCCCTTACACCTTAAGACCAGAAGAGCTGGAAATTAAACAAACGGCAACAATAAACTGCGCAGAGTTACACGAAGATGACACAGACTCGATCGGCAAAATATACACATTACCTACTGGCAAGGAAACATGGCAAGATATAAAAATCGGCAGAATGCCGCCAGAAATCGAAAAACAAATCAAGGAAATATTAGAAAAATTTAAAGAGGTACTGTCCCCACAACCTGGTAAAACAGATACAATAGTCCATGATATTAAGTTGACTTCACTTAGAGCAACCAAAATGCCCGCATACAACATACCCATACATCACAGAGAAAACGTACAAAACCAAATCCAGGATTTATTACAAGCTGGAATAATAGAACATTCCGACTCCTCATATGCTGCACCTATCGTATTGGTAAAGAAAAAATCCCACGACCTTAGACTGTGTATTGATTACAGACAACTGAACAGCATTACAATACCAGACGCAGAACCAATGCCAAATCCAGAAGACTTATTTGCTAAACTTAAACAGGCTAAATACTTTACAAAGCTTGACTTATCCAGGGGTTATTGGCAGATACCAATAAAAGAAGATGTGAGACACCTCACAGCCTTTATAACACCATTTGGCTTGTTCCAGTGGAAGTACATGAGTTTCGGGCTAATGAACGCACCGGCTACCTTCAACAGACTCATGCGAAAAATACTACAAGGTCGAGACGACCTCATATCCTACTTGGATGACATATGTCTGTTCCACAACACCTGGCAAGAGCATGTGAGAGGACTGGAAACACTGCTGGAAATATTAAAGCAGCATGGACTAACTGCTAAACCTAGCAAAATAGAGATCGGAATGGAAGAGATAGAATTTTTAGGTCACTCAATTTCACAGGGTCAACAAAAGCCACTCCAAGCTACAGTGAATAAAATACTTGACATAAACGTGCCGACATCAATTAAAGAGGTCCGTAGCTTAATCGGTCTGTGTAACTACTATAGGAAGTTTATACCCAATTTCGCCACCATCATAGAGCCACTAACGAATTTAACAAAAACGGACAAAAAGAATAAGAAACTACTGTGGACAGAAAAATGTGAAACAGCACTAGACAGAGTAAAACAAGCATTCGCATCGGAACCTATTCTCAGATTACCAAATACAGATCAACCCTTTATCCTCTGCACGGATGCCTCTTCGGTCGGTATAGGTGCATGTCTTTTACAAGAATTTAACAATGAACTCCACCCAGTTCAATACATTAGCCGAAAATTGTCGTCAGCTGAGAAAAACTACGCAGTCGTTGAGAAAGAATGTCTGGCCATAGTCTGGGCCATAAACAAGTTTGCCAGATACCTGGCCGGTGCACACTTCACTTTACAGACCGACCACGCGCCCCTACAAGCACTAAAAACAAAGAAGCTGTCAAACGCAAGACTGGTACGCTGGGCACTGAGCTTACAAGATTATCAATTTGACATTGTTCCTGTCCCCGGCACACAAAACGTGTTGGCCGACACGCTGTCACGCAACTAGAACATAGGTCATACAACTCTGGTCATCAAGAATGTTAGGAATTAAGTCGCCGAGAAATCGGCGTGAAGTAAAAGTCAGAACTGAAGCCAAAGAAGTCATTTGAAGTCAGTCAAGTCAGTCAATAAGTTGTTGAAGTCGTAGTTGAGGTCATAGTGTCTTTAGTGACGTAGTTGAAGTCATGTTGCAGTCAAAGAAAAGTCTTTGAAGTTATATTAAAGTCGTTGAGGTCATAGTGAAGAAGGGAAATCGTCGAAGTCAAGGAAAGACGTTTAAGCCGTCGAAGTCAAAGTGAAGACGTTATTTAAAGTCGTCGAAGTCAAAGGGAAGTCTTTGAAGTCATATTGAAGTTGTTGAAGTCAAAGTGAAGTATTTGAAGTCATATTGAAGTTGTTGAAGTCAAAGTGAAGTATTTGAAGTCATATTGAAGTCGTTGAAGTCAAGGAAAAGTCATTGAAGTCAAAGTGAAGACGTTTAAGTCGTCGAAGTTTAAGTCAGTCAGTGAAGTCTTTTAAGTTGAATTGAAGTCAGTCAGTGAAATCTGTCGTCTAGGTCAAGTTAGTCGGCAAATGGAAGTAGTTGAAATCGTCGAAGTAAAGTTAATCGTGAATGGGAAATAAGTCGTAAATTGAAGTCAGTGAAGTTACTGAAGTCAGTTAAAGTGAAATAAGGCAAGCTACTGAAGTCATAAGTGAAGTCAGTCATTAAGTCAAGCCAGCCAGTTTTTTGTCAGAAGTCAGATAGTGAGAGCTGCTCCACTATATGATTACGTGTTCAAATGTTATTTGAAACGGCACGATTATTTATATACACTTACATGTCTATTCTTTTTTGTGAAGCTATTTCTAAGCTCTAGTAGTGTTTACGTCTATTGAGTTTATTAGGCTTTACAGATTGTTGTTAGATTAGAGTGTACTGATTTTTTATTTGGTTATGTTGTAATGTTATTTTTATATGTTGTTGTGCTGCCAGACAAATGTTCAGCACGTATAAATTTGGGATTGAGTTTTTTTAATGGAAGGTACCTCTGTCTGAATACTTGTCTGCGCGGGCACTAAATTGTTCACGTAAAGCCATTGCTCATAGTCTCGAAATGCCATTTCAGACCCACTACGCTAATTCAGAATGAGACGAGATGAAGCAGACACTTCAAAGAATGCCGCCACCTGAAGCCCTGATTACGTTGAATTACCTGGACAGCGAACAGCCTTGCTTAACAGAGAATTGCCCTGGTCAAGACAGCGGACGCATCGCCACCGCTTCGCCCCCGCACTGGGGTTGAATAACAGACCGCCAGCTACATACACCTACGTCGGCACATACAAAGGGTAGAAGATCCATCGTCCAAGTTCCCAGCGTCGGAACGTTATGTCATTGTTCGCCACCGCATCGGACAGCTCCAGTTCATCGTGTAACCAGTCTACGTGGACATCTCAACCAGCGTTGAGATTGTTGCGTCATCACATTGACCAACGAAGTTACGCATACACCCGCCTCACGGAAATTTACATCAAAACTCGCCACAACCCACCCACCACAGAGGAACGCCAACAATTACATAACTTACACCTACACTTACACTGCTCGCTGAGCCGTTCAACCAGTTACACATTACCACTAAGATTGGCTCAAGGCCAGTACACGACAACCTAGCCAGAGCTGAGTTACACATGATTGGAATTCACACATACCATGAAACATAGACATACATTATCAAGCAGAAAAACTCAACGTCAAGATACTTACACGAGAACTAGAACAATGACATTTTTTTTTTCAGGAACACAGACACAGATTTTATGTTTTTTTAAACTGTGCTGTCCCATTTTGTATTTGATTTATATGATTGATGTTAGGGATAGAATAGAGTAGTAAGATAGATAGTTGTTGATGTATTAGATTAGTAGCAGACGCTGAAAAATATAATTTGTCAGCTACAGAAAGGGAGGGAGATATGTGATGACGCAAGATTACGTCAGACATGTTTAGCAGGTATAGGTTAGCAGAAACAGACTATAGGCCTAGTTGGTTGGTTAGAGAGGCCAATGGGCGCACAGGGCTGACCGGTCACGTGGGACGGTCAGCTGACCACTGAGGCGTGGGGCAGTAGAGCGATGGGCCAGGAGTTGTTAGGTAGCGGTCAGAGACGGCCGAGAAGGTATATAGTTAGGAGATCATGATTGGCTAGCGAAGGTAGAAGGTGTTAGGTTGTAGAATGTAGAGAACAGTTAGTGTTAGGATTGGTCATGGGAGTGCGTAGTAGTAGGTAGCATGTGGTATGAACAGTCAGTAGTAGAAGTAAATAGTACAGTGTAGATCAGTTAGGTAGAAACTTGAACATATATATCATTTTAATAAAGAACAATTATAGTTGAACTTGAACTGTGTGTTATTGGATCCATTCGTTCCGGCCTCTTAAAATCCCCACCCTCACACTACCTTTAACAACTTACTTTAGCTCTTTTATCTGAGTTTTAATTCAGAGATCATCTACCTTTAACAACTTACTTTAGCTCTTTAATCTAAGTTTTAACCCAGAGATCATCTACCTTTAACAACTTACTTTAGCTCTTCTGTCCTTGTAGTTCTCGTATATAGTGACCACTTGAAAGGGGACGGTACACGCCATGAAGGTCACCAACAGAATAAACAGCATCTTTATAACCTGGGTAGAGAAGGGGATTCGTGAATGTCACCAACAGAATAAACAGCATCTTTATAACCTGGGTAGAGAAGGGGATTCGTGAATGTCACCAACAGAATAAACAGCATCTTTATAACCTGGGTAGAGAAGGGGATTCATGAAGGTCACCAACAGAATAAACAGCATCTTTATAACCTGGGTAGAGAAGGGGATTCATGAAGGTTACCAACAGAATAAACAGCATCTTTATAACCTGGGTAGAGAAGGGGATTCATGAAGGTTACCAACAGAATAAACAGCATCTTTATAACCTGGGTAGAGAAGGGGATTCGTGAATGTCACCAACAGAATAAACAGCATCTTTATAACCTGGGTAGAGAAGGGGATTCATGAAGGTCACCAACAGAATAAACATCATCTTTATAACCTGGGTAGAGAAGGGGATTCATGAAGGTTACCAACAGAATAAACAGCATCTTTATAACCTGGGTAGAGAAGGGGATTCGTGAAGGTTACCAACAGAATAAACAGCATCTTTATAACCTGGGTAGAGAAGGGGATTCATGAAGGTTACCAACAGAATAAACAGCATCTTTATAACCTGGGTAGAGAAGGGGATTCGTGAAGGTTACCAACAGAATAAACATCATCTTTATAACCTGGGTAGAGAAGGGGATTCATGAAGGTCACCAACAGAATAAACATCATCTTTATAACCTAGGTAGAGAAGTGGATTCATGAAGAAAGCAGAGATTGGGAATGGTAGAACTTACGACTGCTAGCCCGAAACGTCTTGCGTTCAGATCCAGGGATCGAGTAAATAAAAACGTGTCTGAGTCCACCCAGCTCTGATGGGTACCTGGCTCACTTTGGGGAAACTAAGGCGAATTGTAATTTTTGAAATCTCAGGTCAAGATGACTCAAATGTTTTAATACGTCGTGTTATACATTGATTAATAATGAAAATTAATGTCAATTGTGATGGTAAACATTCACAAACGAAGGAGGTTGTGTCACATGTTTATCAAACCAGTTCCCTCCTCCCCACCCCTTAAGTAAAAGTTGAGGAGAATCACTTACCTTTCTAACAGACCGGCTTTGTATGGCTGATATAACCACTTACCTTTCTAGCAGACCGGCTTTGTACGGCTGATATTCCGATGTGGTTGTTGTTTGTCATCCGGCTAAACCGTAACCGGTGGATGATGACGGTGTAGATGAGGGTCATGATGAGCATGGGGATCCAGTTGAGGGCGGCGATGACCACTGCCCAGAAGATTCTTTCAGCCAGGATGCCGTTATCACAGGAACCGTCGGATAGAACCATCACCTGGGGTCGATTTTCATTCAACTATTTTAATACCGTATCACGGGAACCATCAATTGAGGTCGATTTTAATTCAACTATTTTAATACCGTATCACGGGAACCATCAATAGAGGTCGATTTTACTTCAACTATTTTAATACCGTATCACGGGAACCATCAATTGAGGTCGATTTTAATTCAACTATTTTAATACCGTATCACGGGAACCATCAATTGAGGTCGATTTTAATTCAACTATTTTAATACCGTATCACGGGAACCATCAATTGAGGTCGATTTTAATTCAACTATTTTAATACCGTATCACGGGAACCATCAATTGAGGTCGATTTTAATTCAACTATTTTAATACCGTATCACGGGAACCATCAATTGAGGTCGATTTTAATTCAACTATTTTAATACCGTATCACGGGAACCATCAATAGAGGTCTATTTTAATTCAACTATTTTAATACCGTATCACGGGAACCATCAATTGAGGTCGATTTTAATTCAACTATTTTAATACCGTATCACGGGAACCATCAATTGAGGTCGATTTTAATTCAACTATTTTAATACCGTATCACGGGAACCATCAATTGAGGTCGATTTTACTTCAACTATTTTAATATCGTATCACGGGAACCATCAATTGAGGTCGATTTTAATTCAACTATTTTAATACCGTATCACGGGAACCATCAATTGAGATCGATTTTAATTCAACTATTTTAATACCGTATCACGGGAACCATCAATTGAGGTCGATTTTAATTCAACTATTTTAATATCGTATCACGGGAACCATCAATTGAGGTCGATTTTAATTCAACTATTTTAATATCGTAGCACAGGAACCATCAATTGAGGTCTATTTTAATTCAACTATTTTAATACCGTATCACAGGAACCATCAATTGAGGTCTATTTTAATTCAACTATTTTAATACCGTATCACGGGAACCATCAATTGAGGTCTATTTTAATTCAACTATTTTAATACCGTATCGCAGTAACCATCAATTGAGGTCGATTTTCATTCAACTATTTTAATACCGTATCACGGGAACCATCAATTGAGGTCGATTTTAATTCAGCTATTTTAATACCGTATCAGATAGGACCATTACCTGAGGTCTATTTTCATTCAACTATTTTAATACCCTATCACAGGAACGACAACATTCATTTTTGTACGTTTTGCCTTTAGGGTAATATAGTTTAATTTTTTTTTAAATAATAGCTAAAAGAAAGACATTTCATTTTTAAAGAAAAAATGTTTCACAATTTGCAAATGTATGGAGCTTGAAAACATTTTTTACCTTTTAAATCTATATTTGTCTTTACTTAAATCAACCCGACAATTTCACCCACCATTTACATAGGACAAAGTTAAATTGGTTATATTTTAATATGAATTGGTGTTTTATGTGTCATGTGACCTCGTCTCTCTGGGTGGGCCTATATATTGAATTGTATAGCGTATCGCGCTTTTTATCAGCTTTTATTTATTTCCCAAAGTTTGATTTTTTTTTATTGTGAGTTATCGTATATTTAGTAACTTAATTTAGACTCAATTCTAATGCAGCGATTTTATTCACACTTTCCAGCGCAAGAATATTTATTTTCTAATTTTATTAGATGCTAAATTGGTCATTAAAAATTAATTAAACGATTTCGAAATGAAGGGTTAAAAAACAGATTAAATAATAGCGATCACTCGATCAGCTAGCAGACAAAGGTGAACTGTTTGTCACGGCTGGTTGATTTTCTGTTTCTACCTATGAACAGCCACCTAGAAAGGGCCGATAACTGTCTTTGAGAAGGGGCAGGCAACTTTCTTTTAGGAATTGCTAGCTCCTGGTCGGGTTTTAACGGGATTTTAGTCGCAGCCTATGTAGTGTCAACTTAATTCAAAACTAATGAGGGAAGATGTGGATAATAAAATAAATATTTAAAGCATTTTATAATATAGCTTTTAAATGCAATAAAAAAATAAGAAAATAAAACAAAATTGCAGCCTTTATCAAAAACTTTGGTTGCAAAAATATGTAAAAGATATCATTAAATTATTCATACTTTCATGCTCCAAAACACATGAGTCATCGTAATCTTAGAATTTGATTTACAAAAAAAAAAAAAAAAAAAAAAAAAAAAAAAAAAAAGAATTTGATTTACAAAATACACAGACATCGAGTTAAAAAAAAAGCTGTCCTTCAAGCGAAGCTAAGATATGGGTTGGCATCCTTTTGAGATGGAAGAGCCAAATGTTACTATTTTCAAAATTTCACAGTATTTAAAGAGCCACTAACATTTTTTTAAAAAGTATTTGGTATTTGATCAGGATTAGGTAGATAAATTGTATTTGCTATTTAAAATATATACCATTAAATATAAAATAATATGTATTCATATAAAAACATACATATGTTTCGCCAGAATATTAACCTTAGAAATCAAATAATATAACTATAGGACTATCGAAATCCACTACAGTAGCTGTTAAATTTTTCACTTTTTTTTTCTTGACGGATATCCCCGGCTCAGACTCAGAAGGTGTCTCCCATTAGCCAGGCAGGCTTCAACAAACTCCGACTCACTGGCTTGGTTTGAATACCGTGTGTAGTTCGCTTCTGTCCTTTGGTTCTCACTAGGCTTATCTTCTACCCACTGAACGCAGGGTAAACTCGTACCCCACCGTCCAGTGCCGGCTAAACAGTAGGAAGCTAATAACTTTTAAAAACTACGTCACTCAGGTCAAATTAATGATTCCTGACAGATAGAGAAATGCATTCTGAATAAAATAACATTCCCCATTCAACGATATTCGAAAAACGTCGGCACTTGAGCAGTGGCAAGCATGGAATGGTTGTCACGGGGCTGGCTACAGCACAGCTGTGGGGCTGGACCTAGTGCACAAGCGACTGTCAGCTCTCTGTATACTTTTTTACTGCACCTATTCTCACTGTTCTCTGATGAGTTTTTTTATCCTGTTTAAAGTTGAGTTTCTTTACAGTATAATATTCGCTGCGAGTTTTGAAAGTGAAATAATATAACTTTTAATATTTGTGCAAGGAGCTGGAGAGCCGCATCTTGACATCAAAAGAGCCGCATGCGGCTCGCGAGCCGCAGGTTGACGACCCCTGAGCTAAGACAAAGACTGGGAACTCTCACTTCACTAAATAAATATATGTAAAAAAATGGAAAAATAAATAAAGTATTTATTTTAATTAAGACAGTCTCAAGCCAACATCACTCGATCAGCCCTCCAGTAAATCAACGTTAGAACAGTCTTCTGTTTCCCAGGTTTTAAAAGTGCACAATCTGAATGGTAGAAAGAGATACACACATCACCCACCCTCACACATACCCCCCCCCCCCCCCCACACCCAACCGGACAGGGGGATGAATCAGGGTAGCGTGCCCTCATCGCCAGAGGTAAATTTTGTGTCCTGGAAAATGTTGGAATGATAGATCAGTATGTGTATTACAGAGACACTTCTCCCACGTTCATTTCTATTTCTGTCCATGGGTGACTACAATGTGAACTTTTGACTTCGCAGCTGAGGATGGAGCACAGTAAACTAAGCAGTGAAAAGAAACAGAGTTTGAACACCTTATTTTAGTATAGTGCAATTTTATTTTCTCCATTTAATTACTATAAATACAATTGATGTTCATGTCTTTTAAGCTGTGTAGAACCATCAAATAAATTGTTATTACTATTTTAAATGTTTAAAATAAATTAAAAAAAAAACTGTGGGAGGACTGCTATAGATAAAGATGTTTGAAAGGGAAGAATGTTGTCTCATTGTAATCAACATAACTTTTCTGGTTGGTTAAAATTTGTATCATTTTAATTCTCTGCAATCCCAAATTTATTTCAGCTCTACTTAAAAGCCCCCCCCCCCCCCCAGCCCACCACGCCGATGGGGAAAAAATCCCCTGAATCATCTTTTAATTACACATTTGCATTTTCAGTTTTTTTTAAACAAAATTGTAATTAGACGTTTTGTATTAGATCTATGTATAAGTAAACCATCTTAAATGAATGAAAGTAGGCTACAAGTAAGAAAGAAGTATTACTATTATAAATCTGTATCAGTCCTCAAAAGCCGTTGATGAAAACTGTAATACTAAATCGAACATGCAAGGCAAACTGACGCTGTAAATTATATGTCTGAGGCAAAAAAAAACAAGAGAAAAAAAAATTATCGAAAGCTTTTATTTAGTTCAAATGTCTGTTTGTTAGTTTGATTTACGTGGATTTGTGGCATAAATAGTAAGTCGCTTTTAATCCACTCCTAATGCACCGGTTTCGTTCAAACTTTCCAGATCGATAAGTTTTCTATGAAAATGCAATAGTGTCTCATTTTTCATCTGTATTTCACATTATATAGTCATAGAAATATAATTCTAATATTATTAAACTCAATAATAAAAGGGGAGGTAACAAGATTTAAATTCTAGCCATCGCCAGAGCAACTATGGCAACGTTAAAAAAAATTCTATTCTTCACGGCTGATTAATTTTTTGCCTGAGCTTCGTTCGACCGTGGACCGAGAAGGGGCAGATAATTGTCATGTAGAGACAAGTTACTGAACGGACTTTAAGGCAATTATTTTTAGTCGTATGTGGTATCAACTTCATTTAGTACGTTTAACTAAAAAGATGAAAAATAAAAGAATGTTTAAAAGACTTCTTAAATAAGAAAAACAACATATTAAACGCACTCGATTTTTCTTAAATAAGAAAAACAACATTTTAAACGCACTGAAAACAAAAATAAAATAAAAAACGTATTCTCTTCCTTGAATAAAATCATTTATTCTCACATTTATGTTCTTATTTTAAGTGCTTATGAGTAAAAACATTTTTACTTTCTCGTATATACGTAGTATAGAGAAAGTATTGTAATCGTGCAAAAAAAAAAATCGAGATTTTTACAAATCTCGACGTTTTACACCTCACTGATACGGAAAAACATAATTTTGCAATCTTGTCCGTATGTCTGTGTGTGTGTGTGTCTGTCTGTCTGTCTGTCTGTCCGTGTGTAAACACGATAACTTGAGTACCGTTACAGCTAGGTTGATGAAATTTCATATATAAGTATTTTATCAAAATCGTAGATCCGTATCAACTTTTGAGCGATTTCCGATAACCGGAAGTGGTACTTTTCCTACTTTGAATTTTTTAAAAGCCTATAACTTGAGTACTATTTCAGATAGATAAATGAAATTTCACATGTAAGTAAAAGATCTAATTCTCTACCTTCTGTTAAATTTTGAGTAATTTCCGTTGACAGGAAGTAGTAATTTACGCTACTTCCGATTTCTCAAAAAACTAATGTAAATTTTAAAAGTACTAATAATATTGCGCACTATTATACACACCTTTATTAGGCGTTCGCTTGGTGCGCAATTGTTTTTTACTGAGATTCTATTCTATTTTTAAAAGTTTTAGTATTTAAAATGGATTAAAAATCATAACTATATCCCCAGTTACCATCCCCTTGTTGTTTTATATAAGAATATTCGAGAAAGTTTAGGGGAGATCACTACCGGTTTATTTTATATTTCATTTTATATTTAATTTATTTGTGATGTAATACATTGAACAAAAAAGCCAATACGTTGCTCGCATGTTCGATTATTCCCTACGAGCTGACCCGCGGCGTATCATACGCCGCTATTTAGTTGATTTATTTTCTACTTTTCAGTAGTTCATAGTTAATTAATTCGACACTACCCTCCCTTCCATTTCTACTTCCCCACCCCCCCCCCCCCAACCCTCTGTCATTGCGAAAGAATCAGTCCGTGACGACAGTTTACGGACAACAATGAAAAGATCTAGCAGAACTTAATACCTCTCCTTAGTTTCAAATCGGGTATAAGCTAAATTATTTGCCCCTAATTCGACCGGGCTCTACGATTGTAAACATTCGGGGTGAACCTTTGTTACCAGAATGGTGGGGGTGGTAGCTATATGCCTAGAGAGCGGGGGAGTAACGGCGTGCGTTTACGTGGTGGTGTCTCACATGGTCCCCATGAAGAGAATTATATATAGAGAAAGATAATTTTAGACTATTGTCCCGGTTTGTTTATATTACCATGGGGCTACAAGAACATCGAAAATTGTTTTGACATTTCTAAATATTTTATTTACCAAACATATTAATAGTAACAACAATTCATCTAATACATAGAAAATGCACATAAAATAACTACTGGTTTCAACAATGTACCTTTAAATGTTACCAGAACGTGATGCAGCATTTTAGATAAACATTGCTAACTCGACGTAATTGATAAACATTTAATCTAAGCTGGGTTAGATTAATTTTAGTGATATTGAAATCTGCCCTCTACTTCCTGTTACTGTATTTCTATGATCTCTGGGAAATTCGAGAACAACGCGCCAATAAAAATATTCGAGCCGGCTTCCTGTCAGGGACTTCAAAGTCCGACTCTTGAACCGAATCAAACCTTGCGGAAATGGAACGAAAAACTAGGTCATTCGCGAGAGACGGAGTAGTGCCCCTTGAGCTATCGATTTCATCGGAACATACTTGACCTATTGGAACCTATAATGCTATTATATTTGTATGGTCATAATTATGTTTAAAATGTTTAACGTTATAGAAGATTAAACTTTAACTGTAGTTTTTTTTTTTTTTTTTTTTTTTTTTTTTTTTTTTTTTTTTTTTTGAGTGTTTTTAAACATCAGATGTTTAGATGATTGAAAGAGTGGAGTAAATACAAAGCGTTACGTATGAACACTGAGCGACGCAGTGGTGTAGGCAGGGTGCGGGGGTCAGGTCCAACTCCCCCCCCCCCCCATGGACCCCTGTGTAAAAAAATGTTACTGTCATAATACCACTGTTACTTATTTAAATCTACTTCTGAATCGGTATATAATATAATTGTATATGTATGTTTAGAACAGTCATCTAAAAACTGACGCTATATTCCCACTAAATTGGTTATCCCCCCCCCCACCCAAAACCCTAACCCCCCCCCCCCCCCTCCACCTAACCACCTGAAACGGGACAGGCTGTAGGTGTGAAGAGCGACATTAATGTCACACCTAGGTATACGCTGGGTAGGATAATTGACTTAAAGTGACCGGACAGTGGTGAATGAAGTTGAACCCCCCCCCACCCCCAACCCACCCCGAACTGATCTGTTATAGACGTCGAGTGACGTATGAAGAATGTGTGAAACGTGAACCTTTTCTGATTATCGTCTTGCTTAAACAACTTTTGGTATGAACATTTCGCTCGAAAATATCAAACATGATTTTTGTATGGGGGAATAAATACTTTTAAAGTTGTGTTTTTTATTTGACTCTAGAAGACTTTGCTCACAGTATTTGATTGATTGTACGATGTACTGTGAATTATTATTTGTTCAAGTGAGAATTATAGACGTGTTCATTTTTATATTGGAATGGTCTTTTTTGATTAACTGTTTAATGGGGACACCCCCCCCCCCCACACACACACACACACACGCACACACCTCCCACCTCATTGGTGATTTTCTTATTAATATTTCATAGCGACCTTTACATTGATCGTATTTTTATTACTGCTATATAGCCAGTCTCTCCTTGATTGGTTTCTGATTAATGTTTCGTATTTTATTGATGTTAAATAGCGAACCTTCTAGAATGTTTTACACGATACGGTGAGTGTAAAAAAATACCTAAGTACATTATTTGATAAATATGTGTGTAAAATCGTGATCATTTACTGGCCAAATGTGTGTGTAAAATCGGGATAATTTACTGGCCAAATGTGTGTAAAATAGTGATAATTTACTGGCCAAATGTGTGTAAAATCGTGATACTTTACTGACCAAATGTGAGTGTTAAAAATGTAAGTAACTTACAGGCCAAACGTCATGACAGAAGGTCTCCCTGTAGTTTGACCACTGCCTCTCCGTGTAGGTGTAGAACAGCAGGGGCGGCACCCCGATGGAGACGGCACAGACCCACACCATGGCCGTCACTAGCCTGACCTTCCTCTGGGTGACCCGGGCCTTGAGGGGAAACACGATGGCGAAAAACCTGTCCCCGGCGATAGCCATCATGGTGAAGGACATGGCGCACATGGCACTGACTGGTGGCGAAAGGTGAAGGCCGTTAGAGATAGGACATTGTGCTAACTGTAAATGTGACACTATTGTTAAATGAACAACACTACTAGAGATAGGACATTGTGTTGACTTGGTTAGTGACACTATTGTTAAAGGGACAAAACTGTTAGCAGGACAATACGCACATTGCGTTGCTAATAGAGATAATGCGCGAGCATTGCGTGCGTTGCTTTAAAAGGGGAATAACTCACCTACTTGTGTGACGTTAAAGGGGAATAACTCACATACTTGTGTGACGTTAAAGGGGAATAATTCAACTACTTGTGTGACGTAAAAGGGGAATAACTCACCTACTTCTGTGGCGTAGACGGGAGTAATTTACCCACAAGCAGGCTTGAAATGGGGAATAATTCAACCACTACTTTTATCAAATGCGAGAAAAATTAAACTAATGAATGAAATGCAAGTGGCGAAACTCCCCTATTAGTGTAAAGGGGATATAAGTGATGTTAAAAAGTAATAACTCAACTTTTATAATGACGTGAAAGAAACAACTCACTCTGTACGAAAGCGTTCAACTTGCAGAGAATGCCCCCTAAGATCCAGCCGCCAGTGACGTAGGTGGTCACGTGAATCCACAAAGGGAAGCAAGCGATGAGCAGGTCGGCGACCGCCAAGTTGACAATGTAAAAGTTGATGGTCGTCCGCATCTTCTTCGAGAGGCTGACGATGACGATGATGAGGACGTTGCCGAAGAAAGCGATGAGCAGGATCAGGCCACTGACCACACTCTTCAAGACCAGCTCCCACAGGGGATACTGGGTTGGGATTCTGGGATATGGGATCTTGCTGACGTCATAGCTGTAGCTACTCTGGCAGGATACGGTCTTGGTGGTTCCCTGGGTGGCGTAGGATGTCTCCGAGGGGTAGGAGGAGGCGGACGTCATGGGCGTGAGGGGTGAGGAGAGTGAAGTCATGGTGTTGTGTGACGGCAGCAGGGAGATGACGTCATCGAGTAGGTTCAAACTAAAGAGGTTTTGACTTGTTAGGTTGCCGACGTCAACGAATGTCTCTAGATTCATCATATTGGTTCACGGTTGGGATAGGTTTATCTGAAATTTTTGACAAAATACAGACAGATACTAGGCGATTCTAAAGCAATAGGACCACAAGGTTGGGTGTCACCCGTTTTTTACTAATGGCGTCAGTCAAAATCACCCCCTCCCATATGTCCCGTCACATGTTTGCTTTGGTGTCACTCTCTCTCCCATTTTGTATCAACTTAAATGGAGGCAGCTTTACTTTACAATTTTAAAAAATTTGCCCTACCCCCCACCACCAGAAATGGTGTCTCCGATTGACCTCCCCCACTCGCCCCTCCCCAGTCCTCGCCTTATGTTACCACTGTACTGAGTCTATGTCAGTATGGAAGTTTTAATCTGAAGTCATCAACAGAGTTTCTTCCAGGCATTTCTTCGGTGGGGGGGGGGCATATCCCCCCGAATAAAATCTACCCCCCCCCCCCCCGCGCGAACGAAATGAAATTTATATAGAAAATATTACTTTTAACAGTGTCCGCCCCCCCCCCCCACTCCGAAAAAAGTCTACTGCCCCAACCGAAAATTTCAAGTGCCCCCCCCCCTGAGAAAAAAGTCTGGAAGAAACACTGGTCATCATCATTATATAGATCTAGGTAAAAGCTAATTAATCAAAAAATTATTGAATATAAACTAGTTCATGCAGAATAACGAACTGCACAATTATCTGAAATGTAAGCCATTGTCAAATATGTTACTTGAGTTCAGAAACAATTCTGACATGTAAATAAACTTCAACTTCGTGAGGGGAATATTTTGTCTCTATGTGTGATGAGACGTGTGGTATAGCGATTCGTGAGGGAATATTCTGTGTCTATGTGTGTCGGAGTGGTCGAGTCGGTAAAGCTCATGGTTGCTGAACCAAAAAGTCTCGATTTCGATCCCCCGGGCAGATGAGGCTCGATTTCTGTGGACAGCCATTCTTCTATGAAAGCTAACTCCAAAATCATAACAACTGATACTTTATTTATTTGGGCAAAGGCTAAGGAAGCAAATCCAAAAAGAAAAGCAGGCTGAAATCAGAGTCAACGGCCTATATTTCGCATCACAAGTTGACATGTGATACAAGGTTACATTGGAGGGAATTCCTTCCAACATAAAAAATTACGAACGTAAAAGAAAAAAGAAGACCCAGCGCCGTGTGATGGGTCTTAACTCGGCGTCTACGTCATGACTGTTGGGTAGTAGACTTATGTGGGTATGGCTAATGGAAGAGTGACCACAACGGTTTATATCCCACACGTATTTAGCCCTACACACCACACTTGGAACCTCTCCTCTATCTCAGCCCGTGTATTTCAGCTAGTCTATCACACACTTGGAACCTCTATAATCTCAGCCCGTGTATTTCAGCGACCCTAGGCTATCGAGGGGTGTAAATCTCTATCTTGTCATCCCGATCGATTTTTGCACCATTCCTTCTTAATCCGTTTCTCTTCTTGTAAAGCGTCAAAAAAATCATCAAAAAAATCACACAAAAGTTGTTAAAAGTATAAAACATGCCTAAATTTACAATAAATTATAAAACACGCCTAAATTTACAATAAATGATAAAACCGTGAGAACAATTTTGAAAAGTGGGGTTTGAATCTGATTACTAAGTTTATTAATTAATTCGTCACACTCGATAGATCTTAAAAAATCAGTCATACGTGGTAATTGTATCGGTATAGATCATTTTTTTATATATAATCAAACGTCATTCATTAATGTATCACAACTATTGTTAATGTATGTATCACCTACCATCGTTACTGTATGTATCACTAACCATCGTTAATGTGTGTATCACCAACCATCGTTAATTTATGTGTCACCAACCATGGTTATTGTATGTATCATTAAACATCGTAAGTAAATCACCACTTATTTACCAGTACATTCAATACTAGTAACCACTGTATCGCCTAACATCCGTAAACCCTCCATCTCTAAACAAAAAAAAAAAAAAAAACAAGTGCTACCAACCATCTTTATTGTTGACATCCCAACTCACCCCGCCCTTATAACAGACAATAATTCTTGTTTTAATATATTTTATTAAATACCTTTTAACGATACCTATATGAGTGAATGCTGAACATATTGGCGTTTGCCTTAATGGCTATTTTCCCAAAGTGTAGAAATGTCGAAAGCACAATTGACCGATAATATTAAGTTAGTATTATATTATTAATTCAAATTTGTAGAATTTTAAAGGTTATTTTAAAAATGAACATTAGTGCATAAATATAATAAATCATGCTAATAATTTGAACTTTTGAGCTTTTATTCTAGAGAAGTGAGGAAAAAATAGCGGCATTGTTTCTTAGTGAAGATATGGGAACGTGTAGAGATTTAGTGAGAAAAATATAGGCTACGGTAAAATATTAACAGCATTATTATGTGTTTGTCTAATTAGTTTTTTCAAAACTAAATTACGATAGGTATTTAGTCAAAATTTAATTTTAATAATTAAAATGCTTAATTATTTTTGTTTATTTAAATTTAATCGACTTGATTTTATTCACAATAAAAAGAAATAAATGTTAAGTCCGATTTATTTGAATCGGATAGCATTTTAAGTTTTAAAAAAAATTTAGTCCAAATTTTATTTTAGTAATTAAAATGAATAATTATTTTTGTTTATTTAACTTTAATCAACTTGATCTTATTCACAATAAAAAGAAAACCGATTTATTTGAATTGGATAGCATTTTAAGTTTAAAAAATAGCATGTTGTAGAATACACATTTATTCATTTTTATACTAAGTACTCCGAAAAGACATAATCCAAAAATGTATTACTTGCAACATGACTAAATTTCACCACGTGATTTTGAAATAAAAACAAATGTATAAATAGCAGTATTATTTATAAGTTAAATTATACATATATATATATATATATATATATATATATATATATATATATATATATATATATATATATATATATATATATTCATTTATAATTTAGCTATTTATAATATTTCTGGAATATTCTTTAAAACTTTCTTTATTAATACACTTTATAAAGAAAAATGGTAATTGTGCAAAATAAAAATAAAAATGGACATAAACTCACGTACCGATGTGTGCAAATATCCATCAATCTCTACTGACCCCCACAAGTAGCGGACTGCCAAATGACCGCAGGGAGGGGTATCTGCCAGCCATTACCGAGAATTCCAGAATAAACCAACAGACTCTCAATGCCTGTTGACGAGGCGGTTATCTCGGCGTTTTTTGTGGTCGCCTGGTAACTGGACGTGAAGTATTTGACCGGACCACGCGGAATACGGCGCGAACCACCAAGACTCACGCAATACAGAATGGCAAAAAATAGTTTTATTTAGTCTTTTTTATTGCCTTCAATAAAACGAAGAAAATAAAACTCCATTAATATTACATCATGTGGTATTAAGGCATGACTATTGTGCTACATTACTTTAGCAGATTTATAAATGAATCACCTCTGCTAATATATATATATATATATATATATATATATTATATATATATATATATATATATATATATATATATATATATATATATATATATATATATATATATATATATATATATATATATATATATATATATATATATATATATATATATATATATATATATATATGCAGTATAATCTTTGAAAGTCATTTCATTTTATTTACATATATAGTTAAGCTTTATCCACACATAAGGTTTGCTTAAACTTAACTTAAAATAAGTACAGCTAAGTTGTCATGTCGGGGAAGGGGGAAGGGGGTAAGTCATCCTTCAATGTCACAATTTTTTCCCTTTTCCTTTTTTATCGGAATCCGCCCTTTCATGTATGTATTGTTTTACTAAACGATTTATATTGCTCTAAATATATCTCACCCTCAAGAAAAACAGCAACTGCTGTAAGTGTCGTGGGCCAACACCCAATGCTTTAGCGACTTGATGCGACGTTTCCGCATATATAACACAATAGGGTCTACATTTTTTTTAAAACGTTGGTTAGGTCAGTTTTATAACATTCATCTTCTACTCTACTGCTCCGCCCTCTCTTTTTCGTGGATACATGTGGATATATGTGTAAGCTCTTTGCAAATCACATTTAACATTTTGTTGGATACATGTGGATATATGTGTTAGCTCTTTGCAAATCACATTTAACATTTTCGTGTATACATGTGGATATATGTGTAAACTCTTTGGGTTCACAATTAACATTTGCGTGAATACATAATGTGGATATATGTGGATACTCTACGCAATCACAACGACATATTAATATTACGGATCAAGTAACCTACATTCGTAAATTAAATTTTTCATAATTATTCATAATTTCTCATAATTTCTTTTTTTCACAAGTATTTTCAAAGATTTTTTCAAATTTTCTCGTACATCTTAAATATCTCAGAATTTCTCAGATTTTCTCAGATTTTCTCAGATTTTCTCAGATTTTCTCAGATTTTCTCAGATTTTCTCAGATTTTCTCAGATTTTCTCAGATTTTCTCAGATTTTCTCGGATTTTCTGTTCATGTTTTACGAAACTTCCGTGATATGATACTTCCGTTGTTTTATTAATTGGCCAAATAACCAAACCGTTTCTCCAGCCGCCATGATACCTCTCTTGTTCGTACTACGAATCCCATAAAACGTATTCGGTTGCTGCGTATGTGGGTCATCAGGTGACGCTACTCAGTCCTTGATTGGCCCTCGTGATTAATTAGCCAACAAAGTTAGTACTCATCTCATGCGGGAGGACCAACAAGGTTGGACGAAGTACCGTGGAAGAACGGAACAAGCGGTCACGTTTTCTCTCGTCCGCCATGATGGACCAGAGTCACGTGGTTTCATACCGGCAGTGTAAACAATTGGTGGTTATTAATAGGATCTGCTTTCTGTTGACTAATGGTTTCGGTCCGGTTTTTAGACGTGTGTTTTATGTGTGACGTCAGAATGGCAGTCAACTCACTTTCATTATAGGACAAAGTGGTGGGGGTGGGGG